CAGCGTTTCGTTCTGTAAGTTTAATTTACACTAATTTGCTGAAAAAAATCCTACATTGCAGAAGAGTTTATCACTTTAACTGTCTTTCCTTCAGCTAAACCTACGAAACTAAAATCTAAACCTATGAAACTTTCAGGTATTGAATTTCAGGTGCTAGGATGTATCACTCAATAAATGAAGACCTAAGGACAGATGACTTGCAAAGGATAATAACAAATTTGCATCCTGTGTCTATATTTTTAGGCCCAATTATAATTCAATTTTTGTACCCCTACCCCTTTACCTTGCCATTAAAAACGAGTGTGAAGGGGAAGTGCTACAATTTTTACCCCTAAGAATTGGGACAGCACTACAGCACCTGTACACGTCATCAGATATCGCGATCTCATGCTTCATGTGAGATCAGACGATCGCAACTGCTGTAGTTATTCCATTTTTAAATAAAACATTTAAATAAAAAAATAAGCCTGGCTTTTGCTCTAAGCTTAGTTTATGGAACAGCTTCACTTGTTTCAAAAACAGTTTTTTTTTTCAATTTAAAACAGCATCTTTGGATATCTTTTCTGCTGGAGATACTGCTGTCATAAAAAAATAAATAAAAAAACGTAAATGAAAAAATTGTACACATACCACGTTTTGACGGTTTTAAAACCTTGACTTTTTCAAACCGGAGTATACATTGAAAATGGTTATCATCCCATGTCTAGAGCTCATCCTTATGCCCTAATCGCTTAAACCTGTCACTCTCAAGGTTTAACACTTCGAAAGGCATAGACATGAGTCCTTCTGAACAGAACTTTGTGGATTCCCTTGTTTCTAAATGAATCAGCAGTTTTGAATGAATCAAGTGAATGTGTGATCCACTGAATCACTCATTAAGACAGGGATTACTGCCAACTATTGGTGATTTTAGGATCATATTTATAGCTTTTTGTCAGCATTACCCTTTCCTAAAACAGTGATGGAAACTTAACAAGGATTAAAGGACACAAAATGACTAAAAATAAAGATAAGCAGGCACCAAATGCTCAAGTAATCTGAATAATACAAAGCTAAAGTACAGTTTTGTGATTAAGGTGAAAAGTCAAAATGTATAAACTGTAGCAATATTATATTATATTATATTATATTATATTATATTATATTATATTATATTATATTATATTATATTATATTATATTTTATTAATTATATATTATTAATTATATATTATATTATATTATATTATATTATATTATATTATATTATATTATATTAATTATATTATATTAATTATATTAACTATATTATATTATATTATACTATATTATATTATATTATATTAATTATATTATATTAATTATATTATATTATATTATATTATATTATATTATATTATATTATATTATATTATATTATATTATATTATATTATATTATATTATATTATATTATATTATATTACATTTCTTTTTAAACTACACTTTTGCAGCTCTAAACTTATAATAACCCTCACACACATTGTCTGATGAGCATAAGCCAATAGGAGGCATTCAATTACTTGATAAAAATGGTGGAATTGTGTTAAGTGTGTTGCAAATCTTCTCATTAAACTAAAGTACTGAAACTATTCAAGTATGAAAATTGTTTGCATAACTTGATTAATGATATTGACTGTGCAGTCAAATAATACCTGACCTTATTCAAAACTCTTACTTAAAAATGTCTTCTATTATTTGATCGCATTAATAATCAAATACAATAGCAATTTCAAGAGCAATATCAAAATACATACTGTAGATCAACATCAAGAGCAACCATTAGCAATAATATCTGTCATATTGCTGCAATTATATAAAATGATTACTATTTATTAGTAAATTATTAATGTACTAATATTTTTTAATGATTTCCAGTTTCATTTTGTTACAGTTTATAATTTTCCAATTAAAGTAATTAAGTAAATTACAATTTTAAGACAATAAAGATAGCAGATATGATAAATAATATATATCAGATAAGATATAATATAAATAAGGTAAAAAATGTTCAGAGAAATTAATTTTAACACTAATAAAGTATTTGACAAATGTTTATTTAACTTAAAATAAGATATTTTATAACTTTATAACTATAATGTTATAAAACAACAAGTTAAATTAACATAAAACACGTCATGACTTTAAATAAATTATTTTTTAACTTTATTACTACAATTAAAAGTACAGTATTTCAATTTTAAGCTATATGAAACTACCTTATGAAACCTCATTGTAAATGAAATCGGATTTTTTTTTTAATTTTAATGAAATTTAAGTTGAAATAACTTGCAAAGTTAATTTGATTGTACTATAAAAAATAAATCTGCAACTATTAACTTATTGGTTTGTTTGTTTGTTTGTTTGTTTGTTTGAAACTGAAGAGGTGAATTTCTGACCCTTGAGTGAACTTTGCAAAAAACTATGCATTAGTAATATTGAGAGACACACATGATTCATAAAATGTCCCTCCCTTTTCTTTTGGGAAATAATTTAATCATGAAGTACAAACACACGTCGGCCTCATCTCCTGCATAATTTCCCATTCATTTCAAGGATATTGGTAATAAAGGAGTTTAGTTTTCTTCAGGGATGCTCTGTGTTTGATCTGACCCCGCATAATGACGTTGACTCATTAATTCTTCGTCCAAGAAAGCAAACTGAATGAAATCAGGATGAGTCGTGCCTTGCACCGAAAAACACACAGCGAACAGAACACTCACACAAGGACGAGCTTATTTTTAGCGTGTTAAAGTTCATAACAAACGGAATGGGAGACATTCGAAGGCGTAAATTCAGCACATGCATGAATGTTTCAATTAACATTTTTTGTAGTCATAAAGCTTAAAAGTTGAAATTAAGCATTGATGGAGGCGTGAGGAAAAGCCAAAGTGGTTTGTAGGTCGTTCACGACAGAAAATAAGCAATACAATAATAAAAAAAACTCTGCACTTTGCAGTCCTGACATTTTGACTTGTTACTAATGATTGATCACAGTGTTATTTATATAAATCCTGTTTAGATGTGCTGGAAACATATGCTTACATGATTTCAGTGTCAAGCAGACCATTGTTACTTATTATTTATTAATAATTAGGCCGTTCTTACAACAGGACAGCAGTGAATATGAAACATTTTCAGCCCTCTTGTGATTTTTCTTTTTCATATATTTCTCAAATGATGTTTAACAGAGCAAGGAAATTTTCACAGTATGTCTGATAATATTTTTTCTTGTGGAAAAAATCTTATTTGTTTTATTTCAGCAAGAATAAAAGCATTTTTAATTTTTTAAATACATTTTAAGGTCAAAATTATTAGCCCCTTTAAGCTATATATATTTTCGATAGTCTACAGAACAAACCAACATTATTCAATAAATTGCCCAATTACCGTAACCTGCCTAGTTCACCTAATTAACCTAGTTAAGCCTTTAAATGTCACTTTAAACTGTATAGAAGTGAAAAATATCTAGTCAAATATTATTTACTGTCATCAGGGCAAAGATAAAATAAATCAGTTATTAGAAATGAGCTGTTAAAATTAATATTAATAGAAAGGTGTTAAAAAACTCTGTCAAACAGAAATTGGGGAAAAAAAAACAGGGGGGCTAATAATTCTGACTTCAACCGTGTATATACATCTAAATGTAGATATCTAGGATGCCAGCTAAACTATTTATTCCAATAAAAAATAGCTGAAGTTTGAGTTTGACATATAGACCTTAATAATTATTTTCATGCAAAATTGTAAATTACCTCTCCAGTCATCACAATAATTTGATTTAGGATATTATTAGCTGGTGCTTTATGACCTGGCTTAATTATGGCAAATTTAATTATTTTATGTTTGATGCCTGTTGCATTTTCTTTACATATTTAAATCTTTTTAAAAAGGGTGAAATATCTTAATTGCTGCATCTGCCATGATTACAAATAAACTTAACGATTAAGTGTTTCATCTCATTTTAATGATTAATGTCTGTTTCATTCAAAAGAAAACCAAAAACTATTATGTAAAAGTAAAGTCAAGCAAAAACTTAAATATGTTACTAAATAGTGCCTGATACATATATTAAATCAAATTAGTATACTTTAAAGCCTAAACACCGCACAGTCACAACAAAGCCTTCACTGAAAAGTGACTGCATGTACTTTAATTGGTCATCTAGTTTGTATGAATACATATTTATTTTATGAATACCATATTTTTTGGTCAAAACAATGATGCTAATACATTTTTATTCATGGTTGACTTTTACTTTTGCTAATTTAAGCATATTTAATACTGTTTACTGACATTACAGATTACAATTTGAGTCAACTTACAGGTCAACGTGACAACTTACCCCACAAAAATGTGTAGAATTAAATTAATTTGTACCACAAAAAATTATATTGCTACATCTTGCATTCACTGTTGTCTATCGTCTTTGTTGATACAATCAATAATACTGTTTATTGACATTAAAAGTTAAAATGTGAAAATTTACTCCTCAAAAATATATATAAAAAAAAAAAATGCTATCAAGATCGTCTGTCAAAAGGTCAGCTAAATTATATACATTATGATCACATGCAATTGCAATACAAATTAATAACTATATAAATACTATATTATATTACGAACAAACAGACACACTCATATTTATATAATAAGTATATATATATATATACATACATACATATATACATACATACATAGGCTACATACATACACACACATATACATACATATATATACATATATATATATATATATATATATATATATATATACATATATATATATATATATATACACACACACACACACACACACACACACACACACATATATATATATATATATATATATATACATATACGTGAAAATCAATATTCGCCCAACTTACGCGCGTCATCTTAGTCTGTAAAAGTCAGATTTCTCTTTAAAAATCACTGCCCTCTTCAATATAGGACGAGTTAAATGAGTAAAACAGCCTTACCTGGTCGAAATAGATGATTCTGGTTTTATTGCTCATCTCGGAGGGCTCGTGGTTGTTGCTTCTCACCGCAGAGAAAGCCACTTTGGAGTTTGCTGCGCGCACGGAGATTCCGAGCGGTGAGGACGAGCTCTTCCAGTCGGCGGGGTTCGAGTCACAAACCACCAGGCATTTGCCCTCCAGGACGATGGGCTCTGTGTCATTCTGAGCCTCGCACAACACAACCAGACACAAAAGAAGAGCCACGGAGTCGACAAACGCCTTCTTACAGCGCTTCACGGACACCATGATGAACTGATGATCTCCGTAGCCAAAATCCAGGCGGCTGTCCGGGTCCCGTCACTGCGCGACTGCTCCGCGTCTGAGCTCGGCGACCGCAAACATCCGTCCGGAGACCCGCTGCTGCTTCACAGATCACCACATACGCGTAGGTGGATGCAGAAACCTCGTGGCTAAAGTCATGTTTTGGATAGTTGCGCTTCCCCGTGTGTTGTTTGTTGATTCGGGTAGTTTTGAACTCCGAGTTTTGGAGAGCTGAAGGTTATCCGCGCGGAGATTATTTACCCGCAAAGCCTGCACGGTGCACACTTTTTGTCCACGTTAGTTTTGCGCCAAATTGTTAAGAGGGGAAAACTAGAGCAAAACCGTGTCCGTGTTTGCAGTTGTACGTTCCCCCTGCTTCTCTCTCTCTTTCTTTCTCTATCCAGATTCAGAAGCGCGCACACCTTTAATGACGCCCAACTCTGTTAACTCGCCTTGACACGCAACATGCCGAGCAACGTCAGAGAAATCTGAATATTTTTCAATATTCACCTGAGAAGCACTGAAGAGAAAACTCGACAAGGACAACTTAATAAAAACTAAATTAATAACATTTATAGTATAATGTCAATTTCTATAGCCTAATTAATATTTAGGCTAATGATATATAAAGAAAGTATTATTGCTATTACATTTCTATAATTATATTTATTATTATATTCAAATGGTAACCATTCTTATTTTTATTATTTATTACCAATAATTATTTTACATTAATTATGATAAAAATAACAGTATTAACGAGCATAATACAATTATTAATATTATATGTATTAATATATTACACATTTTTATTAGCAATATTTATATATATCTACATTGTATTTGGAAAGTATTCATAGTGCCTCACTTTTTTGTTTATGTTACAGCCTTATTTCAAAATGGATTCAATTCATTTATTTCCTCAAATTTCTACGCACAATACCCCATAATGACAATGTGAAAAAAATATTTTTGAAATTGTTGCAAATTTATTGAAATAAAAAAAAAAAAAAACTGAAAAGTCTTATGTACAGAAGTATTCACAGCCTTTGCTCAATACTTTGTTGATGCACTTTTGGCAGCAATTACAGCCTCAAGTCTTGTTGAATATGATGCCACAAGCTTGGCACACCTGTCTTTGGGGATTTTTGCCCATTCCTCTTTGTAGTACCTGTCAGGTTCTATCAGGTTAGATGGGAAGCGATGTACAGCCTTTTTCAGATCTCTCTAAAGATGTTCAATAGGATTTAAATCTGGGTTCTGGCTGGGCCACTCAAGTACATTCACTGAGTTGTTGTGAAGCCACTCCATTGATATTTTGCCAGTGTGCTTTGGGTCATTTTAGTCTCATCAGACCAGAAAATTTAGTTTCTTATGGTCTGAGAGTTCTTCAGATGCTTTTTGGCAAATTCCAGGCGAAATGTCTTCCATCTGGCCACTCTACCATACAGGCCTGATTGGTGGATTGCTGCACAGATGGTTGTCCTTCTGTAAGGTTCTCCTCTCTCCACTGAAGAACGCTGGAGCTCAGACAGAGTGACCATCGGGTTATTGATCACCTTCCTGACTAGGCTCTTCTCCCCCGATCACTCGCTTTAGATAACCGGCCAGCTCTAGGAAGAGTCCTGGTGGTACCAATCATCTTCCACTTAAGGATGATGGCCACTGTGCTCATTGGAACTTTCAGAGCAGCAGAAATTTTTCTGTAACCTTCCCCAGCCTTGCGCCTCGAGACAATCCTGTCTCGGAGGTCTACAGACAATTCCTTTGTCTTCATGCTTGGTTTGTGCTTTGACATGCACTGTCAACCCTGGGACCTGATATAGACAGGTGTATGCCTTTTCAAATCATGTCCAATCAACTGAATTTACCACAGGTGAACTCCAATTAAGCTGCTGAAGATCTCAAGAATGATCAGTGGAGACAGAATGTACCTGAGCTCAATTTAGAGCTTCACGGCAAGGGCTGTGAAAACTTATGTTCATATAATTTTTCAGGTTTTTTATTTTTAATAAAATTGCAACAATTTCAAAAACTATTTTTTTTTCACATTGTCATTATGGTGTGTGTAGAATTTTGAGGAAATAAAGAAATTTAATCCATTTTGGAATAAGGCTGTAACATAAAACAATTAGAAAAAGTGAATCGCTATGAATACTTTCCGGATACACTGCATATATTAAGTATACCCTTATATATCATTATTATTGCTATTTTTAATATCAATATTTAATTTTATAAACATGAAATATGATTATGAAAACTCAATAATAATATAATTATACATAACTGTTTGGTCACATTCAAAACATGCACATCAATTACTTTATTACTAGCCTACTATTATATTTCTATAATTGTATTTAATAATGCATTCAGTGCATTCTCATTATTAATTTGCCATTAATTATTTTATCACAAAAGATCATACTGTTGTTAATAATAATAATAATAATAATAATAGTAATAATAATAGTAATCATAATAATAATAATCATGGGCATAATAATATGTTTTAACAGAATGTATTTTAATAATAGGGCTTTTTATTATTAATATTTGTATCATACAAGTAAATAAATATTTCATGCCAATATAAATAGAACTGATTAAAATCATAAATTATTATTATTATGACAATACACAAATATTTACTTATTTACTTAATAGCATTATTACTACTATTATTAATGCCAAGATTTAATGTTATAAACATGAAATATGAACATGAAAATTCATTAATAATAATAATAATAACATACATCATTGTTTTTGTCACATTCAAAACATGCACATCATTTACTTTTACACTTTAATAAGAAGAAACATGACCAGCATGCACTTAAAAGCAGCAGCATGACTGATCACATATCTATTCATAAACAGACAAAGAAACAAACTAACAAAATTAATCAAATACAGCCAGTGCCCTGGATGAGAAACAGAACGATCCTGCATACCAAATTTTGACCTCAAAAAATGCAGAAAATGCTGAAGTTACAGGAGAGCCGAGCAATTTATGCTCAACATAATGGAGCTGCAATGTGTTTCAATACTGGCCTTTATGGGTTTGCTGCTGCTTTATGCATCTGCTGCTGGAGCTGGGAATGTTATTTGCTTTAATGTCACACTGTTAAGCAATTCAGTCCTGTTTGATTGTGTGTGTGCGTGTGTATTTACCACATGTATATGTGTGCATGTGATTATGAATAAGATTATAAATGAACTATTTTCATAAGGAGCCAATCATTAATGCAGGGTCATGAAAACCACAAGCAGACCAGTTCAGATTCAGAAGCCAATGCAAACTACATAACACATGTAGTAGTCACCTCAACACCGTTTAAAATTTTTATATCAGATGTCACATTTCTGTCATCAAGTATTTGATATTCAAATGATTATACGAATCTTAACTATACACTGTAACAAGTTTGAATTACACAGAATTAAACTGTATTTTACTGTAGGACAGTTATGATACTGTATTTTAAAGTTGCATTGTGAAAATTACAGGATATTTTACAGTAAAGATATACTTAAAGTTTTGTAAATACATACGGAGCAAAATAAATGGCTGCAATAAATACAGTATTTTTTCTGTAATTGATTTACAGTAAGTAACTGACAAAATGCTGCCAGTGGGTTACTGTAAATTCTAAAGGAAATTATTAATAGTACATAATAGGGCTCTTTTTTAACGATCTAAAGGCTAAAGCGCAGAGTCACAAAGTCTAAAGCGCAGGGCGCAAAAGCATTAAGGGCATATCCGAATCCACTTATGCTATTTTAAGGATGGAAAAATACGCTCTGCGCTGCCGCCGCCAGTGCCCTCGTGTCAACAAGCTTGGCCCCCCTCTGGCCCCCCCTAAATTTAAGCGTGTATTTATGTATCAAAACGCCAAGGAGAAGCGAGATCAGCCATCCCTGGCAGACAGCAGAGATATGACTGAGACCTCTTTCGCATGCTCTCAGTGTCACGTGCACTCACTCTCTCTCTCATTTGCCGCACTCTCTATGTCATGCGCACTCACTCTCTCTGTCAGTGACGGTATGCGCGTATCAGTTTCCCGCATTCGTCAGAAGTTAACCCCCTAATTGGCACAGCCAGGTAATAAAAATATCTTTCAATACTGTTTTTAATAGCCTACTTTTAATATAGGAAGTCCTCGGCTGTGCATGGGTATTATTATTAATCAGAAGTTGAAAGTACAGTGTAACGTTAGTAAATGCATTCTTGAATTTACAAACGGTCGGCGAGTACCGGAGAACAGAGCGATGAAACACATTGATCAAATGTAGTTTTGAGTCACGCTCATGTAAAAGTCATATTCAACTCGTTTAGTTTTGCCTTCATTCTTTTTTTTTTTTGTCGTGACATACTGTAAAGCAGGAGTCTTTAATATGATTTATTTACAACAGGTTTTTAGTGTAACTAACTAATTTCTATTTTTTTATCTTTGCCATAGTGACAATCAGTGCATAATATTTTACTAGTTATTTTGTAAGATAGTTGTATTCAGATTAAAGTCTCTAAGTATTCTATAGTCTTTGATTCAGATTAGAGTGTAGTTTAAAGACTTGACTATAGGTCATGCTAACTATAGGAAAGTTGAAAGTCATGTTATTGTATTACTGGTTTGACAATCAAAAAGTCCACTAAGGAGGCTAAAAATACTGCCCTTAAAAATGTTTTCTTTTTAATTAAAAACTGCTTTTATTCGATACAAACTGTAAAAAATAAGACTTACTATGACTCCAGAGTAATTATTTTTGTTCTATAGGAATTATTGTGAAAATCTCCTTGGTTTGTTAAAGATCCCTTGGAAAACATTATTTTAAACTAGAACCTAAAATTTATTGATAAACTTTGATGTTGGCTTGAGAAGCCAACGTGACTGCGCTAGGACTGGGAATGGCAGTTGGCAGAAAGCACGGCGGCGGTTGCTAAGTGGTTGCCAGGCAGTTGCTAAAACAACTATGGCATTGTTAGGTAGTTGCTAAGCAGTTGCTAAATGGCAATGCGCGTGTACATGTTTGATCAAATGCTAATACTTAGTAGGCATTTCTAGCATATGTTATTGCATTTAGATAATCATTCATAGCATGTAGCTAATCGTTATTAGCACTTGGCTTGCATTATCATTGTTACCATGCATAGTACACAGGAGGTCCCATTTGCTAGCATGAGTCAAACAAGCCAATGCCCAGGTCCCTACGATGTTCTGATGTAGAGATATTGCTATTTTTAAATGGTTGCTAGGTTATACTGTTTTATTGCTATGGGGACATTTGACAGGTTAGTGATGATACATCAAAGCTTCTTGGCAATATGAGTGATCCTAATCAACCCCGATGTTTCTATGACAGTCTTTATGAGTGTCAAAA